GTGGGGCGCCCTGGTGCTAGGCGGGTCTCAGGACATCCGAACGTCAATGCTGAGCCAGGACAGAGTGCAAGACCCGGAAATATATAGCCCAAGGGAAAGAGAGGGACAGGAAGGACAGCAGACCGGAAACTAGGGACAGGACAGAGAAGGAGCGCCCTCTGGCTGCAGAGGGCGTGACACTTTATACCTTGTTTATTTCGGTTTGTTCTATACTGAGTGGCATTCAAGCAGTGACCAAAATTGGGTTTACAAAATACTATTTTAAGGTTTAGTTAGCTGTTAATGTAAAGGCATATGCCAAAGTAATGATTCATATTGTAATGTTCTTCACCCTTGAAAAGGACTGTTCCTGTAACCTCTGCCATTTCCCCTTTAAAGTGCACCTTTTCCTCTTCCTCCTCTTTAAAGCAGGCAAATGCCTTCCTCTCCTATCTCTGGCCCTTAACTAGCTCCCTGCAGTCCTGTGCCTTGGATGAGATGAGAGAGGCTGGGATAGTGGAGCCATCAGACATCCCCTGGAGGTTCCTCATAGTGAATGTTCCTAAGAAGGATGGCACCTGGTGTTTCTGTGTCAAAAGCCATCAAAAGCTCCCACCCTGAAGGAGAAGGACTTCTGATTCCCTTGCCTGCTCTGACAACACATCTCCTTCTGAGGAGTATAACCCCCCAGAGTCAGATGATCCCACAGCATCCTCAGATGAGGGGTGCCAGTACATCTCCAGGACTTCAAAGTCAAAGACTTCAACAGTCTAAACCTGTTGTGGGGGGAAGAGGGGAACAGACTGTTCCAGTATCCCCTGAGCTGCTACCCTCCAGCCTGCTTCTCCCACACACCGCCTGCACTACCACATGGCACACCACAATATGAATCATAAAATACCGTAGGCTTTGCTGAAGGATTTTGTTACCTTTTAATTCCACGAAGCATTAAATTAGCACCTCTCTACTTTAAATTGTAATAGAAAAATAATTTTTCTGTATTACTTTAACATACAACTCAGTTTTTGTCATCTAATCAGGTTAATAGTACTGGGGATATCGATAGTTACATTTGTTTAATAACACATCGAAGAAAATAATTTCCACAATATTCGGATCTAAGGCGGTCTTCATCTATGTATCGCATTCAGTGGCACGCATTTGACTCTCTGTGCGGTTTTGGCATATAAACCCTTCGAGACTCTCGGTCTCGGGTAGGAGTGTACTCTGTCTGCGAGGGTAAGTGGGATGTGGTGTTGGAAGAGAGGTGGTGTGGAAAGAGATATCTGTGGCGCTTGCAATACTACCCAGGTGAAAACAAAAATACATACGACAATGTCCAATAAGGTAAGTGTGAATGTAACCCTGTATTGCCATTTATTTTATTTTGATGAAATCATGTGTGTGTGTGTTCATAATTTGGGTTGAAAGCAAAACCTTTTATAAATTGTATTAATCCATATTTTAAGAATCACGTTGTGGTAGGCTTAATACGATTACATTTCCTTTGAGGCAGTCGAAATAGTGTTCATATTAACAGAAGTTTTTTACGGTTAACCAAAAAAAAATCATGTGGGGTGTAGTTAATGCAGAAAAAAAAATCAGACCCATTTATTGTGAGTTTTAATTAAAACTATATGGTCTAGACTCATAAATACTGCAGTTGGATAGCCACATGGTAACACTTTAAAATAACATGACCGAAACGCAGCCTGGCATTTCAAAATAAAGGCATTATATATTTTTTTTTGTTCGAGTGCTTTGTGCAAGCATCCTTTGAAACCGTTAGCACGCTTAATGCACTTCACACTGTAGTTCTATTGCAATCATGAAACACATCTCTGAAACACTTCAGTATTGGTTTAAAATGAATCCTGATAGCGGCAAAGACATAATGTATGTATACAGTATGTGCGTGACTGTGTATGCTCATATACAACCACGTATGATTAGTTCCATTGAAAGGGGGGGTATCGCATATTGATTTTGCTTTATTTTCCTAAACTGAACTCCTGCGTTTGTGAAGATACGGAAGGGAGACATTAGTAAATAAACCGTGTCTGCGGATTCAGAATTAATTCTGGAGTAGGTAAACGCCTAAAAAAATCTTGCATTATTTTATATTGAATTTAGCTCTGTTGGTGTAATTGACACGAATCGTATGTAGATCTATTAATATTACATTAACTATACTGAACTCGGTGGAAATTAGGAATAATCTACTGTCAATGCTGTGTTATTTATTCGGAATTCTTTATTACATTTGCGACCTTTCCGACTGCTTTACCAAGCCACAAGGAAGGTATTTTTTGAAAGCCTAATAAGAGGAGTGTGCACATTTCCGTTTAATTTGGTTTTAAGAAATTTATTACGACAAGTTCAAGAGTTGCCGCTTGGACCCATAAATCCTGGACACGTTGATGTAGACGAGGAAAAAGAGAATACATCGCTTGTAAATTCAGTGTTAATATCAAATAAATAAATCTATAATGTTGATTAATTCCTCTGTGGGATCTCAAAATACGTAAGTCCTATATGACTTTTTTAAAATAAAAAGCATCTTGAAAAAGATATAAGAAATTATATCTACTTTATCAACTTAAATCTACCAGTTATTTGCAGCCACCCTTATTTAAATTTAAAATCTACTGTGTGTATTGTGTTCTTACTAGTTTTCTTACTCAGACTGCAGTTTAATTAGCTTTGCACTGTTCCTTTTACAGATGAGCACCTAAATTGGTAAAAGCACAAATCATTGACAGTAATTTGAAAAATTGACAGTCTTAGTCATAATAACCTATTCAAAAAACACAGAGGGGAATTAACAACGCAATACACAATAATTGAAAACAACAGCAATTGTTGCATTTTTTTTTGCTTTTTCTGTTCAAAGACCCGTTTATCCACATTGTACTGTATGTTTGGACTGCAATAAGGAATGGGGAAATTAGACCAGTATATGAAAATACAAAACTCCTCCTAAAGGAAGGGCAATTGTGGAATTTTTAATATACATATCTGCCAGGTGTATCATCAGATGTTTTTACTCATAATACATTTATGCATACAAAAGTGAAAGATCAGATATCAGGATAAACTATTGAGTTTAAAAACAAATACAATTTAAAATAATTTAATTCACATTGACAGATGTGTCAAATATTGTTTTATATTTCCGATTTATTGAAAATGCATCTGTGCGGTGCGCTTTTCACTAAAATTTTAAAACTATAACATAAGGTAAAAAAAATGAAAGCATAGTAGTAATTAAAATAAAAGTGAACATGGAGGTTTCACACAGACAATATTAAATACAGACAAAGGAAAAAATAAGTGGGTCATATAGTCTTGACTGAATGGAATTTGTGCTTGATTGCACTTGTTACAGATAACTGGCCTCAGCTTAATATCTTAGAATGGCTGCATTCTGGATCTCTGGAGCTGTTCCGTTGACTTATTGCTGTTAGACTGAGCAATAAGTCTGATGTGTCTGAATTCTCATGCCAGTCATTCATTCTTGCTAATTTAGTGTGGGTCAGTATCCTGCCCTGCTACAGCTTAAATACTACAAAATGTTGCAGTTCACTTTGGTGCAGCTCAGTTTCACTCAAATCTGTCCTCTAGGTAGCTATTAAGAAAAGCTGACATTGCAGTGGCCTGTCTCTGCCATCATCCTTGTGTAGCATATATGCCTTGATGTGCGATGCTCCCCACCTTCCATAAAATTCTCTACTCTTGGCCAGATTGCCATTGACACCTGTCCTAGCTGTAAGAACAGGTTTCTATAGCCCACTATCTATCACTGTAGAGTGACCAAAAGTATACCTCACACCATAACAGACAGGCTGTTTTATTTTAATTTGGATGAGCAGTTTAATAATAATAATGTGAGACATATTGGGGTGAACACGTTCAGTGTTCTGTGTGGTCATTTGTTTGGTGCGAGTGAAGTTTTGTTTAATCTCTGACCCAGGGAAAAGTGTGGTGTGGGCGGTTGAGGAGAGAATGCAGGCTCGCGCTGTGTCCGTTATTCTTTTTCTTCTTCTTGCTTGGTCTGCTAGTTTTTTTTTTTATCAATACAGTTTGATAATCGGCCAGTGAAAGCTCTGTTTTCCTTCCAATGAATGCCTAAAACCCTAATCGAACCCAGGATTTTACAATAATAATAATAAATTCCTTACACTTAGTGGGGACTCCCCCCCCTCCACCACCACCAATGTGTAGCCCCACCTGGATGATGCGACAGCAGCCATAGTGCACCAGTACACTCACCGCACATCAGCTATCAGTGGGGAGGAGAGCAGTAGTTGATGAAGGTAAAGCCATGATTGGTAAAGGCCAATGGGAAATATGGCTAGGACGCCGGTGTAACCTACTCCACTACTCACCATGGGATTGTTAATGACCACAGAGAGGCAGGACCTTGGTCTTATGTCTCATTCAAAGGATGGTGCCTTTTTACAGTAAAGTCACTATCCTGGAGCATAAGGACCTACACAGACCGCAGGATGTGCGCCCTGTACTTGCACCACTTACATCTCTTTCAGCAATAACCTCAGTTTTTCCCAGGAGGCCTCCCATCCATACACTGGCTAGGCTGACACCTGCTTAGCTTCAGTGCGATGTCAGTTGTGAGTTGCAGGGATATATACAGTAGCTGCTGGCTGGTTTAAAGCTATAGTTAAGCTAAATGAAAATGAATGTGCTGGACAATACCACAGTTAATATGTCCACTGCATTAGTGCTGCAATTAACTGTATGGACTGGATTTATCAATGGAAAGTGACAGCGACCCTGAAGGCAGGAAGGTGTGATAATGTGTTCAGTCCTTAAAAGTTGTCGGCTTCAACTGGCTTTCCATGGGGCGACAATATGGTTTGTGTTTTGATGTGAGATGATGTTTGATGGTTCTCATACACAATGTATGAGCAGCAGTGTTGCATGAAGCATTGCTCTGCTCGCTTTAGGTGTCAGGTACCCACATGATTGATTGTGTTCTGTATTCTTTTCAAATAAACAACATTTGATATTGAGGACATCCATTGCTTTTGAGTCTTCACAATGAATACCATACACATTCATTGTTCAGGAATGCTTTCTCTTTAGAGAAACTACTGTATGTACAGTACTATGACTCTCCACAGACTGAAGCTTCCTCTTACCTGTACCTGTATTTGCAACTTGCAGCGCATGTACTCTGGTCATTAGAATGGCACGCTTGAATCAGAGAAGGTGTATTCTTCTAATTTTAGGTCTTTATAAGATTGTTTAGTTTTTATTTTTGAAAATATTCTAAAACCCTTGTTTCTTTCGGCACTAAGAGTTTTATGACATTAAGGTAGCATACATTATGTTCATATTTATGAAGATAAAACTTTACAAACTGTACAGGTTCCTACAGTATACTGTTAGTAAATAACAATCGACCACATAGAGCTATTAAAGAGATTCCTCTGCAGTGGTTCAAATAATATTAATAATAATGTATAGCTAAAATAAAGCCTTGTATGAATATTCAAATGTTATTTTTCATAATTGTTTTTTCTGTACAGGCAAGTCTGATGAAGCAGGTGGCACACATATCTCAAAATGCAGCAAAAACACTTCAGGGTAAGTCAACCAGAATCTATTAAAATATTTTACAGTGATACAGTGTCCACTTTGCAGAACCTGACAGGTGCCATTTTGTATAACTCTGAATGTTATACTGAATAGTACAATTTGATACTGTTTAAATGTATTTATATTTATTTATGTAACATAAAACAAAGATTTTAAATCAATTTCTAAAAATTATTCATAATATTCACAACTCAAATTTCAATACGGTTCATTTCTATGGTTTTTGTTTCCTATATGATGTTTCAAAAAATAAAGACAAAATTATATTTTATCATAATAGGGAAATGTCTTAATGCATACCTATTTTTAAGTTGAAAGTTGAAAATATTTTTAGTTATCCAAGTCAACAGTCAGCAAGTAATATCAAGTTATCCACTGTTTTTGATTTGTAAGATTATCAACAAAGTTTCCTTACATTTTCTAAATCACTTTATCCAAGTCAGGGTCGCGGTGGACCCGGAGCCTAACCTGGCAAGCAATGGGCAAAAGGCAGGATACACCCTGGATGGGACACCAGTCAGTCACAGGACACACACAGACACAAACATTAACTCACACCAGGGCTGATGTTGTTGAAGTCAGTTAACCTACCAGGTTGTCTTTGAACTGTGGGAGGAAACCAGTGCACCCAAGGGAAACCCTCACAAAGGCAGAACATACAAACTCCATGCCGATAGCATCCCCAAAAATTGAACCCAGGACCCCCACGCTGCAATGCAGCAAAGCTAATGCCGTCCTCAACAAATTTTGACCTGAGTGATAAAGATGATATATATTCTTTATTTATACATTTCTTTTCTCTTTATCGTAGAAGCAGAAATTGATGACACGCAGCTTCTTACTTTGACAAGACAGGATCTGAATGAACTACTTCCAGGACCCACTAATTTCCAAATAAGGAGAAAGATTATGGACTTCATTACTGCTTCAAAGGTAATACGGTGCTCTTTGTAACAATAAAGACGTCTGCGAGAACAGAGAAATGTCAGTTCATGCCTTTTAAAAGAGGTTACTTTGATTTATTATCAAAACATTTTCTGGATGGAATACTTATTAAAGTAATACTAGTGTGTGAAGTGTATGAATAGTGTTTGGCACACAGCAGGGATAGCTTCATATACTGATATTCAGACATAACTGAGAAAATGTTCTCCTAGGGTTATTTCAGGATTCTGTCTTTGTCTTTACGCAAGTCTTTGCGTAACCTGAGTATTGCGCAAGTAGGCGGTGATTCTTTTTTAGCCCTCGTTTGAATATGTATAGAGAATCACCACGCATGATATTGCTGCCTTCCTCCCTTATTTTCCTTAGCTGTATCTGAAGTGAGAAAGGAGGGACAGGACAGCAGAACTCCAGGCTCACCGGGGTTTATTTTCTTTTAATGGTTAACAGGACAGTGGTCATGGAGGGAGGTAGAGGGCAAGAGGGAGAGAACATAGCAACAGCTCGCAGTTGTTAATCACTTGCTTTTCCTGATGCATATCCATGATTTAGATTCTGATATTTGGAAAAAGGTGTGTTATCTAGCTGTTTGATATCCACAGCGGTTTAAAAAAACTAGCTATTAAACCAATTCAAATTCATTTTTTATTGACCAGCAAGATCTCCAGATACTACAGGATGTGTTTAGTAGCAGACAGTGTTGTTTGTTCCCAGTATTTCTGACGGCACTCTTACTAGAGTATGCCGAATTGTTAAGAGAAAGAAGGCAGGACAAACTGTACTGTATTAACTTGAGCACAGAAACTATAAAATGGATAAAATGACTTGATCAAAGGTAATGTGTGGGAGGGATAGGGAGAGAAATCAATGTGGGAACTTCTACACTTTACAATATCGAAGCACTGAAGGCTAATTTGTTTGGAATTTGCTATAGTTAGAGAAACCAGCAAGCAAGTGAAAAACTTTATACACTCGATAACACAAAATCGGAGGAACTGGAACTGGATACAGTGTTGTTTGAGTGGTTTTCACAGACAGTTTTGGAAGAAGCTGCATTTTGGAACCATTACTGATTGAGAAAGCCAGAGTGTTATAAAAAAATGAGTAATGGAACCCTGTGCTTTTTTGGAAGAGTACAGACTGGATGTTCCAGGAGAGAAAAAATCAACCGATCGTGAGGCTGCCGAAAAATTGTCACAATTTTCCACAAATTGGTGGATGAGCAGGGTCTAATTTTAAAGAAAATTTCTAATGCTGGTAAAAAAAAAGAATCAAGTAAGTGTTCTTGCTTGTGCTAGTCTGTGTCCTACAGAATTAGGCCTTAATTGGCTGAAAAATACATTCTAGTGCACTCAAGGGTGTTGTTTATTTACCTATGCATTAAATGACAAAATCAAATGACCAGATAGATAAAGAAATTCCTTTGTACTTTCAGTGGAAAATGAACTTCAGAAATAAGAGAAGCTTGAAAATACCAAGGTTATTCTGTTTCTCAATAATTGCCAAGTTCACCCTCCAGATAAGGAACTAGTATCAGGCAATATTTTCGGTGTTTTTACCAGTGAATGTAACCTTCCTAATCCAGCCATTGCACCAAGGAGTAACCTTGATGAACATGAAGGGTATCTACAGGAAAGAGTTTATGAGGCGACATGTAAGTAATAAAGACACTATCTGATGTTTTCAAGAGAGTTATGCAGTAAAGGATGTCCTTGTGAACATTGCATTTGTATGGAATCATGTGAAAAATAAAACATCAAGGAGGGGTTGATAAATGTTGTGGGCAAATCTTATGTTTGAAGAAAAACTTTCCAATAAAAGGAATTTGTTGGGTTTAATGTGTGACACAAGAAAAGAGCAATAACAAAAGTAAAAGAACTGCAAAAAGGGGTGCCTACCACATACCGACTGCCAAACCTTACCGATAATGACACTGCAGAGTGGGGTAATGTTCATGCAGAATCTTAGGCTACCAGTTTGTTACTGAAATACCTGAAACCTGGAAAAATAGAATACAGTGATTCAGAAGATGGAATTACAACAGAAAAAGGAGATGTGTCGTGGACTCAGGCTAGTAATGCCTCAGACACTTTTATTAAGTCAGCTGGGAGACAGGTTTTCTTCGAGCACCACTATGTTTTCCAGATGTACACCATGCCGAAATTGCTATTGCACAGACAACTGGAGTTTTTCATGCCAGCAGACATTCACAAGTTTTTCCAAAAAGCTTCTGCCATTTGAGCTTGTGCCAGTGAGCCAACACCCTCCTCGCCTACAGCTGCTTCGTTAGATGTGCTGGACATCAGTGATCCAGGAATGCTTCCAGATACTGAAGTTGTGGATGAATCGGGGGTGGAGGGGCAGCAGGGCTCTGTAAGCTTCAGTGCTTTGTGTCAAGGTTTTAGAAAATAAAATTGAAAATAAAAAAAAACTACAGAGGTGCCTAAGCTGTGTTCAAGTACTGTATTGCATAAATAGGTAAGCACCTTAATACCCTAACCCTGTTTCGTGTACTGTGAAACATTATTATAGTGTAATGCATTTAAATATAAACGACTGTACTGCAAAACTGCAATATTGCTCCCCAATATGAAACAAGTCAGCTTTCCTGAATATGTGCTTTGCATGGTAAATATCACTAAATAATATTGTTTTACAGTCTAGGCTTAGATTATTCAGTGTAATTTTGTCTTTGTGTGTGAGTTTATGATCCATATGAATATTGCTACAGTAACCATCTATTTCCATTACCCAGCCATTGAAAATCCCCATCTTAGCTGGATAACAACACTTTCACTGTAGTTAGGAGACTAATTACATATGCAGATGATTACAAAAATAAGCGGAGTGACAAACATAGATATACAGTAACAGCAAGTTAATTAGAAAGAGATGGGCAGACACGTGGCAAGTGAAATTTAACATTGATACATCCAAATCATTAACATTGATAGGTCCAAGTAGTAGGAGTAACATACACTATACACATTGCTTAGAATAACGTGTTCAGTTTTCATCCTCACATCACAATTTGGATAGGCTTAGAAAGAGTTCAAAGAAGATCAACAGCAATGAGTCTTGGTCTCAGGGGGCTGTCATAAATGCTAAAGGGAGAGATTTGTTCAGTCTAGAACCAAGGCTATTGAGAGAAGAGCTGATTCAAGCATGTAAGATTTTAATGAGTATAGATGGGGTCATCTCAGTGGACTGTTTCACACTCTGTAGTGAAACAAGGACACATTTGGAAACTAAAAGGTAATTCATGTGTTCAGGACAAAGAATAGGAAACATTTCTGTAAACAAAGAGAGTTTTAAGTTGTAACAGGATTCCCAGTCAAGTGGTTGAGGCCCAACTCCTGTTTTTTTTTAGCAAAGTCTGGATGATAGTCTGGATGATAGTTTAGTTTAATTTAACTAACAAAGAAGCCAAAATGGCTGAAAGGCCTGCTAGTTTGCATCCTTTCATATTTTCTTAGATTTGTAGCCGGCACTTAAAACGTTACCTCTGATGGGTGTATTTCAAACTAATTTTTTGTATCTTCAAAATATGAAATTAAAACAAATCCAAACATTCACCCATGTGAAATATAAGCCCAGTATGTCATGGTGGTTTTTAATTTATGAGGTTGCTTCTTTCTAACCAGCAATGGGTCGCCATGAGGAAGTGAGTTTTAAATTGCAAGTTATGGTTGGGGCTGATGTTTTGATATCGGAGTGCATGGTTCGAAACAAGAGGAATAGCTATACTGTATATGTTGCCTTGTTAATGTTGTTTTTTTTTCACAAATTACTTTAAAATGTTTAAAATGTTTTTTTCCCCATATAGACAGTATTCTAACCTAGGGGTAGCCAGCTCTGGTTCTGGGGAGTTACATACTGTAGCTCAACATGTTATTCAGGTTTATACTATAACCATTGGTTGACTAATATCAGTAACTATATTCAGTAAATTTGTATGATCAAAGTAGGAAGTAACTAACTCAGTTAAGGACTGGCCAGCTTTGGTAATTTATGGTCCTGGGGTGTAAGGCGTTTCAGTTTCAAATGACTGCATTACCAGCTTAACTGATCAAAGTGCAGTTGCTCCATCTTCACAAACGACTAAACTAGCACAGCCCACAAAAGAGTGTGCCTCTCCAGGACCACTGTTGGAAACCTCTTTTCTAATATGTTAATAAATACTTACATAAATTGTCTTTTTTTTTTAGCAAAAGTCAAACCGCACCAGAGTGGAGTCACTTATTAAGTCCCTTTTAGATCTGGTTCCAAAAGGTAGGTCAGAAACTCTTTGAAGTCAAATAAAAGAAACAGTAATGGCCAGAATAAACTAAATCTTCAACCCTCCTGCCAACAGTACATGCCAGAAGCGCCACTTAGTGGCAGATTTGTGTGACAGAGTTTGTCATATATTCAGTGGAAAGCTTCTAACAAGCTCTGTTTTTTCCACTTGTCAGTGGGTGGGCGGATCAGAATCACACAGAGCTAAAACAGATTCCAGCTGTACAATTGTGAACTTACAATGTCCAGAAAAGAAGGTGTAACAGGAAAAAAAACATCTTTAGACGTCAAATAATTGAGTCATGTAGGCCTGGGTAATGCATGTTTTATTTAGTAACACTTTCGTGTTGTGCATTACTGCATGAATTTAGCTAACTTTGTTATTTATTTCCAATTTAGTGTTTTTAGTGTTTTGGGAGAATATCAGTGCTCTATGGACCTAAATGTATTGTGAGTTACTAGTAAATTATAAAGGAAATTGTAGCAAATTAGAAGACTTATTAAAGGAAATAATGAAATTAGAATGAAGATGACAATACATAGTTCGCTTCAGTAATTTTCATTTTTTCATTTTGTCCTTTAAACTTTCATTGTCTTAAAACAGACTCACTTGTTTCTGGAGATGTTCTGCACAACTATCTTCTCGTCCTCAAAGACATGGAAGTGCAACTGAGAAGTGTTTTAGACTTTTTACAGCAGCACATTCATCAGTTGGACCGACTAGGCCAATGTGATCCAATGCAACTGGACGAGAAAAAACACAGAGATGAAAAGCCAAATAAAGGCCAGCTAAATGCATGCCATGATTGCAATCAATCTCAGGTGGACCCCTGGACTCCTCCTCCCAATTCAGGCAAGTTTCTCAGCATAGCTCTTTCTTTGCATGCCAGTATTTTGCTGTATTGCAATATATTTAATGCTACCTATAGTATATTCAGAAATCAGAATGCACTTTTTGAGTTGTGTATTTATCCAGTACACATTTATTCCAATCCATATATTTAAAATATCTTATAGCGCAAATACCACAGAAATAAAACATTTCAAATGTATTATAAAATACAAATTCAACACCTTATGGGCTAGGTTATAGATGCTGTTTTAGTGGAATATTGTTAACAGTACGTAGATGGATTAGGTTTACAGTTCACATTGTAGTAATATGAGGGTTTTTAAGCTATTGGAGCAATTAGAAATTGGAACTTTAAATTGCTTAAAATCCATTGAAACTAGAGCTGGGCACAGTCAGTCAAGCACTGAAAGAATTAAAATCAACAAATACAAAGTACTGTCAGTGATTCAGCTGAAAAAGTATAGTCACTAGGAATAACAACACCTAATAATTAAACATATCGGAAGGTATATTGGGTGTTTTAGTCACACTAAACTTGTCTTAACTCGCTTGGCTGAGGGCTAACCTCCTGGTTAGAGGACGAGGAGGCTGGGACCCCCTTGCAGAGAGAGGAGTGACCAAGGGGCAGCTGCACAGGTGGAGATGGGGAGGAGGAGTGTTTTTACAAGAGAAATTATGCCAGGAAGCATTGCAATTTACTGTCTGTCAGCTGTGATTGATTGAACATGACTCTTGTCGTGGCTCCTGAATGTTTGCTATGAACTCCATTAATCTGAAATATTTCCTGAAAAGGCAATCTTCAGCTTTAAATGTGCACTTTCCAAAACATAGGCATGGCTATAGATGGACTGTGTTATGGTTAGGAGTATGGTTAGAAGTATTCAAAAAGCCTCTGCCTGTTTGCTAAAGTTTATAGTCTTACTTGGAAGCAGGGCAGAGGTAGCTACATATCTCAGCAAGAAATGAGAAGGATTGCCGTATTATTTCATGGGCGATGAGGCACTGTTGCTAATTTAGTTGTGTTTTGGAGGAGAAAATAGCATGGCAAACATAACTCTAGGGCAGGTATTTGAAGCACTGTTCTACAGTATGTGCTGGGGCCTTGGTTAAAGATTAGAAAACTATTTCCAGCTGAAGAGCAAGGTTGGAAGATGCAGAAGGAAAGATGATTAAAAAATACCACAACAAATATGTTTCCTACGATTGATTAAAATGTGGAAAAGTAGAAACATTGATCTTTAACAGAAGAAGCTTGTTGTCAAGTTCTTGGCGTTGGTTTGCAGTGCCTTGGATCTGCATAACTCCTGTGTACCAAAGAAGAACAGATATTATTTCTCTTCATGTAAGTAATTTGTCATGAATTCAGAAGATTTCTCTTTGGAATGAGAGTAGGTCTCTTCACTTTCCAAAATTAGATTGTAAATCAGTGATGAAATTTAAAATCCATTACAATGCATTCGCCAAGATTACGTTTTAAGAAAAAATCCAGCATTAAAAAATACTTCTATTTTTTTCTAATTTAATGACACCACAGTAAACTATATCGCTAACTGCAAACATGGTACATGTGTATACAAAAACACATAATCATGTATTCTCATTAGTTAGATGGAGTTATGTGTACTATTGTTAACTGGCATAACGTTTTGTTCTTGTCACTGTTTTGAAAGTGAAAATAAGGATGTTTTCTACACTGTTTAATATAAATACATATTTAAATATAATATGTGTTGCAGATCAGAAATAACTATAATATTCTCTTTTTTTTAGTCTTTATTCCAACAGGTTATCCTGTCACAACTGGCTTGATATGATTCCTAGTTCTTATTTTAAGAATATAAAGTTAATTAGTGGAATGGAGGGCATTTGGCCCGTGTGGCATTTTTGGTTGCTACTGTAGTACTGTAGCTAATTGGATTTTGATTTAAATTGGCAATTTCCATGTTATGAGTACACTAGCACTCTAATAGAAAAGAGCTGTCAACACCAAGCTGTAACACTTCTCTTTGTATTTTTGTAAATTCTCTTTGTATTTTTGGAAATGGTTAAAAACAACGCACAGAAGAAAATCAACAGAGCACAATATGAGAGTGAAGATTACTCAGGCATGGGTATTATTCCACAGAACTGCACCTGCATTTTCACTTTAAACCAGATACAGGATATAAAAGAATGATCTTGAATGTGTTGAGTATATTCACAGGTTCAGGATTGGGTTCCAAACACAGTAAGGACCCAGTGAACTTGTTTTTTAATTAAAGTCTTAGAACCTTGAGTTGGAATTAATCAGTAACTAATGTTCCTTATTTTTTTTCTGATTTTGTAAGTGTGCATATGTTTTCTAGTTTCAGATCTTGTGGTTGAAACTCTTCGTACTCACTACATACTGGGTGCAGAGAAGGCTTTTGTTAGCAAGCTCAGCCAGCATCTCACCAACTTTGCAATAAGAGTGCTGACAAAAGGCTATGAAAATACCTCTGGTAATGCGGTGCTGGTCTTCTGCCCTGTACACTCCCGAGTTGGGGCCGATATTGAAGAAGCAACCAAGAAGATTCCCAGTAAGTAGTTCCCATGTACTTAGGAAAAATATAAATCTGAAAAAAAAATTGAAAGTATAATTTTACAGTATTTTATTCATAAAATATATTAAAACTCTTTTACGATCTAGTACAACGTATTTCCAGTATAATGTATTTGGTTATATACTACAATATATTTTATTAATGTGTAAATTATCGCCATTTTTATTTTCCACTTCCCTGGTTCAGTTTTCGGTTCCTCAATTTTTATATAACTCAGACCTTAAGTAGCATAACTTTACATACAACTCGGAAGCAACCCTTTCTCAGCTGTTGCTCAGAATATGAATACATAGAGAGGATTAGCATTCACTTTATTTTAATCAGGAGATCATCTTGACAGGCAGCCCTGTTTATTTACAAGGAAATGTTGACAGTCACCTGGACCTTACCTTCAGAAGCTAGACATTTGGTTCATGATACATAGTAACTTAACCTTTAATTTGTTCAGGTAATTTGTGAAAAGGCAAAGAGCACAATACAAATTCTACAAATTTGTTCAATACGAGAAATTTTGTTTGCATGTGACATTTGCAAAATTGCACTTTAAAACTTTACATTGTTGACACATTGGCAAGCAGACTCTGATCTAAAGAACACCTGGGGTGGCACATAGATGGAATTCACTGCTTGTACTCTAAAACGCTTCTTCTTTCCAACAGCAAATAAAAATGCCGTCCTGGTGGTGATGCACCATACTCACGATCCAAACCGGGTTTTGTCTGAGAGCAGCAGGCTGGTGAACAGGACTAATATAGTGGAGACTGTGGACTGCCTGTTCCATGAGACTGTGGGATTACTGGAGTGTGAAGTGAATACCCAAGCCATAGTGAAAGTCAGTTCTGCATTGCAAAAATACCTGTGAAACATGAAAAGTCATTTTGAACCATAGGAAAGAGCACCTCTGATGGTAAGATACCAACCACTAAATACACGTGTAAAAAGTTCAGAAAATGCAAACATTTACACTTTCCCCTGATGAAACGGGGTTTCCAAAATGAATGCAATGCTTATCAAGACTTAACATTTTCCAGTTCCCTGTTTAAGGGGAGCTACTGTATAATCCCGCATGTTTTTTAGGCATTGTAGTTGTGTAGCATCCTCTTATCACTTGCACAAGACCTGGAAAAAAAAGTGAAGTACAATCAAATACAGCCAGTGAAGGGGCAGCTTAATCAGTCAGCAGCTGGCTTATGCAGCAATACTGTTCTTGACCAGAGCGACTGCCATGGAAAGAGAAGGCCTGCGTAGCGCAGCTCAGTGGTTCTCTTTTACCAAGAACACGAAAGATAGTGTTTACTACAACATAACCAGTCACAAGCAAACATGAGCTCTTGGTCAGTGATTAAACACATTTCGGGCTATGTGAATTCTGTTACTAAACAAAACAAAAAGTCAATAGAAAGGGCAAAACAGTCAAGCCATAAAACAACTAAGTCATGAACTGAATCACAGCCAAATGTGAAATAAAGAAGCACTGAAATAATAGGGATCCACATCTTGAATGGAAAGATAACTAAAACTCTATACATTTTATCTTACAACCCTTAAAAAAGATTTTCAAAATGAACGCAATGCTTACATAACATTTTCCAGGTCTCTGTTCACTGAGCATTTTTGTACTTACTGCAGTTTGATTGCAGTACATCTTTTTCAGCTACAAAGGGGGAAACGTGGAAAAAAGAAAGTATATACCATACTGTACTAAGTGAATAAGAAAAGCCAGAGGGTAAGCAAACCAAGAAAGGTTTCGAGACTCAAACACAGTGTTATGTGTGTGTTGCCTGACATTTTACAACTTTTTACATTGTATGAGTATTGTATGCCTTTAAAAAGGCAGCTGTTCATTCACAGTCTTCTTTTTCTCCAACTGAGTCCATTCCATATAGAAATTATATTAACAATATTAACACTTAAGACTATGGGCACTTCTCTAGGATTGACTAAAATGCATATACCAGACATTCATGTAATATTTTTTTGTATACTATAATCAGAAATTGCACATTATGCAACATTTTTCATTTCTGTGCCAAGCTCAGTTTCGATATAAATCCCTTTCTGAAAATGAACTGAAAATCAGTCATTATGTATTTGTATCTAAACGGGCGTTCCTCACCAAGTGATTGGACATCCGTAGAGCTTTTCACAGGCTTTTGCCCTTTTATATGCACATACTTCACAACTAACCCATCTATGGTTAAAGAAAGCTATATAAACTGTGCCAAATAATATGTATTTACAGTACTACTTACTTGAAGACATAAGACTCAAGAACTCAACTTGTTCATTTTTCGTCACAATAATTTTATTTTAATGAGCTCTTATACTGTACAAAAGCTCACACTTTGCAGAACAAATTTTTCCGCTAGGGCACCAGAACTTAATCTGTAATCACTGCATTTCAAATTAATGTCACCCACCCTATTCCATTCCATTCTCTAAACAAATTTACTCCCACCCTTCAATACAAAAAACATGTTCTGCAATCACTTTACAATCAATCGTTGCTTAAATGAAAAACACAGCAATCTCAATATTTTACATTCCAGCAGAATTTCTCTGTGAAGAATCACCTACAGCACAACACCTGAGCAGGGTGCTCACTGCATTTAAACAGGAGACAGGAACAGAAACACATTGTTCAAAAAGTGATGGAACAGGGAGGAATGAACAGAAGCAATCTACAGTATATATCAGATGGTTTTTAAATCAGATAGGGATTTTTTTTTTTAAATGGTGCTTTTTTTTTAATAGCAGTGTTGACCATTCTGCACAGTGTTACTGCATGAACACCTACCCATCCTTTGCCAGAAAATGGCTTGTCCTGGTGAGAGCTGAGGCAGCCCAGAGCCCCTCCCAGAAGCACAGGGCTGCTGTCCATCTCAGGGCCACCAGGAAAGGGATGATTTCGGGAGGTGGGAGCAAACCAGAGCACCTGGAGAAACTCCACACAATCCCAGGGGGAGCAAGCACATTCCACACAGGAGCCCAATCCGGAACTGAACCCAGGACCTAACAGCTGTGAGGCAATATCAACATGCCATTAAGCTGTCCTACAGCATAAAGAATCCCCAAAACTGTAATTTCAGTAATAGTTACTGTACTAAGAGTAAGTTTTTTAAGCAGGGGATATAGCAAAATAATATAAATTCCCTTTGGAAAAACTAGGGCTGTCTACCGCTTGCCACTGTTCCCGAGTAGTGGTGCTTTTGTTTTCCTTTATACATTGAAACTGGGGGCAACGGAGTTTGCTGAATTCCACATTTCAATGTCTTAGAAAACTGGGAAAACATGCTTGTGGTTGCAAACCATCTCATTCCTCTTCATACCCCAGGAGATATGTTATAATCCTTAGTTTCACAGGGATTGCACAATTACTTTTTTAAAGATAAAAAACACAAGTGCCTAATCAATCACCTGACATTGTGTTAATCAATGTTTACACAGAATGCCATTTGGAGGTTTTTTATTTTCTGTGTGGGACCCATGTCTGCAGTGTGCAATAGTGATAACTGAAAAGGTGTACTGTACTGGTAGCAATGTAGAAAGCAGTAACTGCAGCTACACAAACACAATTTTACATTATGGTGCTACCATTGACTTTTACAGCTGTCTAGGCAAGCAGTAGCATTTAATTCAAACATCACAAAGCACATTTTATTTTAGCCAAAAAACCCATAGGGAGACCTCACGTCTTATACCCATCGGAAGTGACATCAGATAACATGATTGAAAGTACTGTTTAACAATAAAGCTGCTTAAATTGCTTGTTTTGTGGCTCCATACATGTCCCTTCATGAAAATATCCTAACATTAGTTTATAGGAATGACATACTGTACTTGTCCCTCACACCCAACTAAAAACAAAGCTTTGCAAGAAACAATCAAGTTTGATTATCTGTACTTAAATTATGTATGTAAAAAGGAAACCGTATGTATTGCCATTAAGATTGCTTCATTATTGTTTGTTCATAGTAATGATAACTGTGTAAAAAGATAACCCCTTAAAAGCAGCTCTCGCTTATATTACTAGCAAATAGAGGCAAAATGCTCAGTCTTTCAGATGCCTTAGACTGCCTTGTGTATATCTGTGACAGCACACTAATCCTCTAACTAGCTGCATTTAAATCCCAAAAATTTGAACCAGAAAAATGTGGTGCTTCACTGTAGAGATGCTTAATTGGCCTCTCTACCAGTCTTTGTCATTGCACAGAGCCAGATGAGCCTTCAGATGTGCCTGTAAAAAATCAGGGAGCCATTACCTCCTGAGAACAAATGCTTGTACATACACAAGCAGAGCTAAGCATTGCATAACTTAATTGATAGAATGAAAGTGTACTGGGCCTCTAGTGCAATAAAAAGATTTCTAATATACTGGTGACTATGCATTGCAAATGTGGCAGTTAATGGGGTTAACTTTGGATGTAAAATAAAATGGAGCATATCTGTAGACATTTGTAAGCATTTTAAAGTTGTGCAAATGCATGTAAAGCTTTTGAATATGTACATTGATTACTTTAAGTGTTCAGAAAAATGTTAATTGTAATTGGTGTGCTGACTGTGTCTATGTTCCCTGGATGAGCTTGTGCTAACCTTTTGCTATTTTGCACTTTAATCGCCAAATCGCACAGAGTGCATTTTGATTAGTATTTTTTACTAGGGAATTATTTTGAGACTTGTTCCTTAGAAAGCAACATTAACTAAGCATCCACAAGCTAATCAGCAATGTTGTTGAGGCTGATGCACCATCTTAATTTAAGAATCATCTGAAATCCTTAGATCAATCATCTAGTGACGTCCATATGGGTCCCTCTCATTTGTAGTTATTTTTATATACATACAAATTTTAAAGTGGTAAAAGAATACCAAATTACATAGTGTGAATCTAGAAATAAAGCATTCCCACAGAGTAGTTCAGTTTTTGCTACTAAAAGGGATAACATAAGAGTTTTGGTGCTACACAGACCTACTCCTCAAAATTAAAAAAAAATCCAGATTAACAGATTTAGTAAAGTAACAGGTTTACTAGTACACTAGAAGTACATTTAATTAGCAGTAGGCAAACCACAGACCAGTGTTACTGAAGAACAACCTTTTCAATTATGACGCAAGTTAAGTCTATTTACAATTTTATTTGAATACTTTACTTCTAGCAAATGGAGTTTTATATCTAACTTTTAAATTAAAGTCAAACTTAATTATAACTGTTAATTATAACGGCAGCCATCTCAGGATTTAATCTTTCTAATCTCTGCAGTCCATTTTCTCATTTGACAAAAGGCAGATCTGTCTTGTCTATACAGTACAGTAAATTCTAGTAATTTCATGTTCATCATTGTCCAGTTCCTAAGAAAACAGCCCTTTAATATCAAATATCTTTCAAAGAAAAAAGAAACAGTACAGTTTACAAATTTTATTTCTCAGTACAATAGTATTTTTAACAACTAACAAATACACAACCCTGCACCAATCGCTTTTGATGACATGACAGTGAGGAAAAGCGACAGGAGGTAAACACAACAGGCTTTTAAAACCCAGTGAAAGTATCTAAACAAATTCCTATTTCAAGCAGGTATTAAAATTAAAAAAGAAAGGCAGTCTCTAGAAATAAAAAAAAGATCAAATTCACCTTCTGATTTCCAAGACACCCCCCCAGGAAAAATAAACATTCAGGAATCTGGGACTTCCTTCAGCGAGCCTCGGACAATTCTCCAGATGCAAATGTAAAGTATTCAAATGGACGATGACATTAAAACAGGTTCTGTTCCACTTTTTTTTCCTGCCTAAAGGAATTATCTTGTTTGTTAACCCAGAACTGATGTTGTGCGTGTAGTACAAGAATGTCTTGTTAAAATACAAATCAAATGCCTCATGTACATGCCTGTAAATACAGTATCATGGCTCTGTCTTTTTTCTCTATGTCTTTTCTGATGATGACAGATAATGTTTACACAGGCCAGCATTTATTCAGACACCTAAATACTGTACTTTAGGATGAACTAGAAGAAAATTCAGTAGTAATTAATCGTTTACCTTAATACGAACCATTTAAAATGTTTTGGCTTTCAGCAGTTAAATGTGTTTCAATGCTTCTACAAAAGATGATAACCAGTTACCACGCTCAAGTTCATGTTACAGAGTGTGGCTTCATTTCACCTCATAATGCATTTTCTGGCACATTCCTATAACCTCAATTACTGCTCTCCTGCCATCTCAAAAACACATTTTAATCCTCCTACCAAACCTTTCTTGCAAAACAGATGTGTATATATGGGTTACATTCTTTTATGAAACTGAATCGAGTATCAAAGTGATAACTGGAGCTGAATGCAAAGTGTACTTTTTAAAATGAATACAGCAGGAATTTCAGAAAAAACCTGGGAAAAAGTGCCCTTGGTACATTCAACTGACAAGAAAAGCAGCATGGCAGGGCGCAAGAAAATTCCAGATGTGCCCACAGTTCCATTTCCTGCGATATTTCATTCTCTTTTCGAAATGTTTGGCTTCACAGTCATTGGCTTGGTCCTTTTTTCCGTTCACTCCAGTACTTCTTGTAGGCTTCCTCGAACATGTGCTTGCAGCTGATTCTCGCTTTGAGCCGGGAGCAGATGAGGAAGGAGCCGCCCATTTTGCGGTGCAGAGAATAGGTCTCCTCAGGAGGAGGGGTCAGCCGCTGCTTCAGCATCACGGGGATGAGGTTGTGGATACGCTGGGTGGTGCTCTGGGAGCCAAAGTCAAAGGGCTTGTCCTCGGAAAAGGCTTCTCCCAGGATCATCACTGCATCCACATGGGCATTCTCCATAGCCTGGTTCAACACAGAATCAGAGGCCATTTGCCATGTTGGTTTTTGCACATTTGTTGGCAGCGTTAAGAAACCTGGTCACATTCAGGGGTCTATGGAAGCACTTTAAAAATCTTAAACTCAACCTCATCTCAGACCCCGAGGTTGTGTTTTATTTGGTTTTACAAAAGTGATGCAGATTAAGCAGAAAAAATACAAATCCAGCCCTGACATACAGTATTATGATGCAAGATCAACACCGAATGTTGGCTACAACTCAGACAGGCAATCCAGCTCGCCTGAACTTAGAAGGAGCTGGTGTAAACGAGGCATGTGATACCCAACTTAACAGCAAGTAATCTGGATGGAAACAACAACTACAAACTACTGGATGCAAGATGGAAAGGGAGTTAATTGTGTTTACGTACAATGTACTGATGTTGACAAAGGACAAAAAGATGGGATAAAAGAAAATGTTTTCAAAAGTGTAAGTGCCCTGTTGGTTTTAAAAATGTGTAACGGTTTAATCTTTTTAAAACCTAGATTTTCAAACGGATAAAAAATGAAGCCTCGTGTTCTCCAACATGGTGTTCTAACCCAATCTGATTTGTTGCTCGGCAGTTTTGCTATACAGCTACTAACCACTACCTTACAAACATCAAAATTTGACAGGTTTACAACAGGCTTGCTTTGATGTTACACGGTAACACAGAGCTGTAACACACAATACAGGAGCTCTGAGGAAAATTCTGAAATAAAAAAAATTCTACAAAATTATTTTTTAAAGATTTAAATAATACTAGCAGCTTTTGAAAAGGAAAACTCATCCAGCAATTCTCACCTTTGTTTCGTATCCAGTGAGAAACTTCATCTCTACTGATTTTTCTAGAACCCGCTGTCGATTCCCATCTGCTGCTGCTTTGATGACCTAGAGAATTAAATAAACCAAGATTACATTTGATCTGAATGTGTATTCTTCTAATCTCTAATGTGCGTGGTCTCACCTCAATGTAGACATCAGTAAAGTCCAAATCAAAACCCCTTGTAGCTCCAAAATCTAGGAGTGCAACCTGCAAGGAACAAAAAAAAAAGAAAATGTTATGAAAAACATCATTCTTTAAGTTTCGTAGTAGGACCTTTAGAAATATATATTTTTTAAATGGTTTCATGACAATGCAACTCTGCATTGTAAATGTTAATGGTATTAACAATAAACTTCAGTATCGTGGAGGTACAAAGACAAATACCACTCTCTTTGAACTGAATGTTTTTTAGAAATGGATATTGCATGCAAACAATGGTTTCAATCGTAGACACTCATCAGCATCCCACTGATGTGGGATGACAGAGTGTAGAGTTCTCTGTGAAAAGTAAAGGTAGTGAACAGAAATAGATCCGCTCGTAATGTTACTTAATAGGGTGCTGGCAAACATGTGCAGCCAGTAAGGCCTGCATGTGCTGTGGCGATGAGTCTGCTAGCATGTGGAGTTCTGCAGGAGGGATGCAGCACCATTCTTCCATGGGAAAGTCAATCAAATACACCCTCTGCTTCATGAATATCCTTCATGAAAAAGGCCATGGCATATGGATAAAAGTGTCATGCCCATCAAACCACTGAAACAAAATACATGCTCTGTGGATGGGGGGGATTGCCACTCTGGAAGACAGCCCCTCCGGGCAGGAACGAAATTCTGCAACATGGGATGGAGATGATCACTTAGTACCATTATGTAGAAATTAGCAGTGACCTGGTCTTCAAAGGGAATAACAGCACACAACCCTCACTATGAAAATATGCTCCGTAACAAAGATCGAATTACATTTTAGGTTTAAAACATGGACCAGCTTAGCTGATTCACACGTTCTCTCTGCATAGTACTGGAATCAGAAAACAGATTACCTTTTGGTTATTTACTGAAAATAAAAAGTAAAATAATGCACTCTCCACGAGTACTAGTTTACTCATTCCCCAAATTGCACCACTGAAACTGCCTGTCAAAGTAGGGCACTAGATTAACAAAGGTCACTTTAAGATGACCTCTGGCATTGGCACAAGTTGAAGCTACATAGGGTGGATGTATATGTGCTGCTTTACTCCAAGTTCTGCTAGCCCCAGAAGGCAGCCCAGCACACCTCAGAAGGCACAGATCTGGTTTGCAAAAAGCTTCTCATATGTTACCACACTACTGGGGCTCCCATTTAGGAAAGCTATAGAGAACAGTACCGGAGATCAGGAAGATATCTTGGAAAGAAACAGAGCACCACCGCTGCATACTCACCCTGTGCGTCTGGGGATCATAGAAGAAATTGGACCAATTTGGATCCGTCTGCATGTATCGGAATTCAAAAAGCTCCCGCAAGCAGAGCATCAGAATGTTTTCACATATCTTGAACAGAAACACAACAAGGCAAAACCATTAGAAGACCTTGGTTTTTGTCTCACTGTCATTGTGTTTGACACTATCCCAGCTTGAATATCCTAGGCTTGATCTCTAGAGATCTCTGCAAATTCCATTAAAGATTAGCTGCAGCCCATCCTCCTTTAGGGCATGAGCATCTTGAATAGTTGAATTGTTTAATTCATGGAACTTGCAAGCCTGAGGTTTTCAAGTTTTTCAAGTAGCTGAATACCTAGAAACAAAGCTGTTCATACGATCTACATACAATGTACCCTTTTCTTGTTGAAATTATTACCAAGCAGATCTTATCGTTCAACTGGGTCAAATCATTTGTTTCTAAAGGCTGGAAACATCTGTAAATTACTGATCAATTAACTAATGTGCTCAATGGAGAGACCTCAGGGCCCACAAATGTGTTTCAATTAACTTCTTAATAATTTTAATAAATATCCATCATTATTGGTCTTTAGAAACTGATGACTTACATGGTTACTTAAAAAATCTGATTGATATGGCCCTTCGCAAGCAAGGTTTTAAACTAATTCCTTGCATTTCTTTAGCACTTTTCTTCCCAAAGGATCCGAAAGCATTTAATTTACAGGAGGGGAGCCGAGACCCCGAGATTAGATTACCAACACAAATAACAGAAAATATAGTAATTATTACACTAATGTGTAATTAGCAATCATCATAATTTTAAAACGCATTTAAAAACCTGATATCTTTGAATTTATCCATTTCCAAACACAAGATGGAGCTCTTGCTTTAATTTCACATTGCGGGCTTCAAATATCCAACACGTTAACTATGACAGTACACTTCAGGAATAGATCTGGCAGACTTCATGCCAAGCAGAGTATTTAATCTTTAGTATGTGCTGTGTGTGACCCGGATACAGTATTTCAAGCACTATTCTGTAAGCTAATGAGGACCAGAGGGACAATTTAGAGCAGCCAATTATATTTTGTGTTTGGGAGGTTAAGAGGAAACTGGGGCACCTGGAGAAAATCCATGAGCACACGAGGAGAGAGAAAACAACACACAGGACTCTGTTCAATAAATTCCCTAACACTTCCCTCAGAGGCGGTAAATTATAGACTCTAGATCCCACTAACCAAAACTAAACCTCTGAAGGTCGCATGCCGACAAAAACAGATGCACAGGTGTTGCCTACACCTGCTTCAGGGATACAACAATTAGCAAAACCTCCACTACGTCTGCACTAATCTTTCAAAAGCTGAAGACGATGGTGATGTTTATGTCCCATTAGCGAGTTTATCCTAGATTTACATCACTCCTCATTAGTAGGATTAGTTCAATAACTACAAAAGCATGATACCGAGTTCATAAGGAAACCAAAAACTGACCCACAAAAAATACTATTTTGACACAGGTGACAATATATCTTAGGATAGAGGCAAGAGAAGCAAGTATTTATTTTCCTTTCCTACACTCCATTGAGAACCTACATCAAATTAGGTTTTAATACCGAGTCAAGTGCTGTTTCAAACAGCAGTGAGACATTACATTAACATATAAAAACGAAGGACTAGAATTCAATTTTTATCAAGTCCTCTAGTTTTAGTAGTAAATAATACACCTTAAGCAGGGACTTTGTGTTAATCAATAATCTGTACATTTTACCTTTAATTTTTTAATTTTGCAGTTTGATGCCTACAATTGTAAATGCTACGCTGCCAACCAAGTTGAGCATAGCAGAAGACTTTAACTCCTTCATTTATAAAGGTTGGAATGAGGAGCTGCCTAACTTTGTGAAAAGCAAAGGAACAAATAGAAGTTCATTTCACACTGAAAAGCAAAAAAAAAGTATTTCAGCTAAGAAGCCACCTTCAGGTTTCTTTCCACACCCAAGCAAGGCTCCCACGCCAAACTACTGTATTTTTTCTTTTCAGCATGGACTTAACTTCTTGTTCCACTATCTAGTTAGCTGTCTTAGCTTGCAGGTCGGGCTATAGTGCCGGTAGAGTTGAGTAACTGAGGAAACGTGATTATTCCAAAAAGAGCCACATCCACACCTGGTCCAGATGCAAACATCTGCAAATTCACACCTGGCCTGCATTCTGAGTTGTACTTGCCCTGCTAAAGGAAAGCCAAGACAAGGGCAGCCGGACGAACACATACTTCATTCTTAAGGTCCTGAGAGAGGTCATCAGCCTGGTCCAGCGGGAAGCCCGGCACCAGCTCGGTTGTGAGGACATGCTGGTTGCTGAGCTCATCGATCACAGCTGGCACGTAGAATAAGGGGTGGTCCTTCAGGAGTTCCCTGGACACAGAGCAGAGCATCAAACACATCAGGTCAGCATGCCCAGCACATCAAGGAGGGCTTGGCAAGGGTGCGAGACGGCGGAAATCTGCCTGGGAGGACACATTCTGCCTCAAAGACATTCGGTTTTACAGCTCATCTCTTTCAAATTGTGCGAGTGAAATTCAGGACTGGCTGAACTCAAACTTCTTCCATTTAAATATAACAAAAACTAAGGAGAAGTACATAAATCCCAGGGAAGACGCACCTCATTAATTAAATTCTCTACAACTTGGAAACTTTAGCCTCAAATTATGACCTACAGCAACAAATCTGTTGATCCTGTGCTCTGTGTTAATGCACAAACAAAAGCAGTCAGAAAAGTCTCTTATTTTGATCAACAACACTGCCAGCATTCGGTCTTTCGCTGATTACACTACTGCAGAAATCCTGATTCATGCCTTCATCACATCTTGGCTGGATTACTGTTAATAGCCTTTACGCTCTGCTGAGGCACATCTTTTAGGACCTTCTTACAGTTAAAAGAATCACAGGTTAAGCGCTTTTACCTGCCTTGCTCCACAACTCTGGAACTCACCTTCTGTCAATCTGAGAAATATAAACTCCTTTAGTTTTTAAAGCTAGAGTTATCTTTTCACTCAGAATTTTTTCCTCTTTTCACACTTTTGACCTCTCCTTATTTCTGTTCAATGTTATTTTGATTTGCTATCCCGTGAAGTGTCCCAGACACAGCTGATGTCCTGTACATGGGCACTGACATAAATCCTTGTACAGAACGGTCCCAACAGGCAAGCAGCTGCTCTGAGACCTTTCCTTCACGCTTTCTTTCCTCACCTCAACAATCTCAGATTGTAATGCTGTAGTTGAATAATGTCCACAATTATTTTCAGTCCAAATTCTACATTCTACAGCAGCCTGAAGATGACTAATTATATAGTTAATTGTTTTGGCCTCTGAATATATTTCATGCTCGTCAGAACAATCTTCTCTTTCAAAGTACTGATCAATCATGAAGTATATGACTGCCATTCTTTTTACACCAAGTACTTTTTGATGGCTTTTTTTATTAATAAAATGATATATACAGTATGTTAATCAAATCAGAATGGGGAAAATCCCAAGACTGTGTGATACACACAGCAGTCTGACAAAAAAATATATGAAGTGTGAAATATCCAAGAATACTTGCATAAAACATGGAAATGAGGATTAAACTAATTTAAATGATCAAACACTAAATTTTGATGTACACAAGGTAACAGCTTCAATCGTATTTTTGTTTTCTACAGCATGAAATGCCAGCAATTACGTTTTTTTTTTAACTATCCAGGGTTCTCAAAGTATATAATTTGGCTTCTTTCAAAAAGAACATCCCTGGAGCTCTTGGCTACTGATGAATGAAATGAACCAGATGGGTCAAATTTGTCTCTTCTTGCGATTCCTCTTACGTTCTTCTTTGTTTTAGTTCTTCTGGAAGACTGACATCAAGACGACAGATTACAAATCTGTCACGTGGAGAAGTCTGCCCTCACACTGCGGTGTTTATTTTGTAATCGGTGTATCTTTTTAAACAGTACAGGCCCAACAAATCCTAGCGCTGTTAACAGTGAGATCCTGGACTCTCAGAGTGCAGAGGCATTTCTCACTATTTGCGCTACCAACCACGTAAACAAGATCATGGAGGCAGCCGACCATTCTAAAGACAGCACTGACAGCCAGTGCTGCACAGTGGAAAAGTTTACGTCCCAGGCTACAACTTTCAAGGTTACGCCTCTAGTACTGCTCATACACGCTTTCTGTAACAAGACACCTTGTCTCCAGCCACAGACCTGGTCATACACTTTCCAAGTCAGCAAGAGTTATGGCCCTAAGCAGAGGATGAGCAATGGAGGGCTTGTTCCCCTGTGTTATTTCCAGAACGGCTATATATAAACCTGGATGCATGGAAATGGTGTGCCTTGAGCCCATGCCTCCGAAATGTAATGCTGCACAGAAGTCACCAAAACAGTTATTCTTAGTGCTCAGCTGTGACCAACACAGGGCAAGCAGGGCAGTTTATAGCTGACAGGGACCGTACGTTCAAGTTTAATAATCCTCTGTGCCAACATGTTTATTTTTAAAACATGCATAATCACAGATCCTGGAGATGTTATAATAGGTGCCAAGAGAAATTATCTGCAGTTGCGTTTCTTAATTATTTTAAGAATAACCGTCAAGTGTGACTTAAGGGGACGAAAATAAAAGATAACCACTGTGCTCAAGCTGTGACCCACATTAAATTAGAATGAACAACATATCAGCAAGGTCAGCAAGCGAGTGCTTCTGTGAACAGCTGGTGGGAAAAGATTTCTTATCAGCATTACAATAGCAGTACCGTCTCTGCATGGCACTATATAGCAATAGATTCCCTAGATTTATTTTAGATTAAATAACATATGTAATTAATGGTACACAGACTTGAGGCAGCAGGTTGTGCCACTTCAATCCCAAATATAACAGGCCTGAAAACCTCAGAGGGCAGTTGGAACTGGGATTGGGGTTCCAGAACATTTCTCCTTCCAGGAAAAGGTTTGGCTTGAGTGGTGAGCATTGAAGCCTCTTCTCAAAATGTTACCGACTTTATATTCTAGGATTTTCAGATACGACCGCACTAATGACATGCAGTAAGTGTGGTTTAGTTCATCTTGTCACTCACTTGAATTTCCTGGCACATTTGGCTTCCCTTATATAATCACATTCCAACGCCAGCTCACGACTCATAACCTCAATCAAATGCTCAGGGAAGAGACCTACAGAAAACATACAAAAGCAGAAGGAAGTTATTAGGAAAGAGCATACATACTGTTTGAGGGTTGAGAAAGCATCAAACTGTTATCCTTAACTCTTTTATTGTCATTTCTGAAAAAAGGTAAGGTTGGTTGGGTTGTTTAATCATTAGAAATCAGTGGACATTATGCAGTTAAACTACATATCCCATTGCAATTAATTGAAAATGATTTTTCCCACTTTCAAGAATTAATATTGCCAAACAACCAAATAAAAACAAGCATAACTACATTTCTGTTTTAGTCAGCTCACTATTTTACCAAAGAAAATCCTCATTTACTGTTGTATTGTTATAGTGTTTACCTGGGTCACATTTAGCCATATATAGCATACAGCTCGTGTTTGAGCTGATAGGGGATCTTTACCAAGTCTACACTCTACTTTCAATCCACTCCATTGCAGATTAATAGTAGATACAAGCAGCTCCTTGATATACTCATCATGATAACTAATATACACTTGAGAAGATGGTAAAGTAAAACTAGGTGATGAAGCAAACTGCAACAGCTACAGGTCAATAGCCCTGACATACATTTTTAAATTTAAAATTAATCACTTTCCTGCTTTTGATGTAAATGAACATATTTAGCCCCTTGGAAAATAAAGACTTATTTGCATTTTACATATCGGGGTTTTATAGACAGCTCTCATGGCAAACACATTAAAGAAAGATGTGGTCAAGAGACACGAATAAAACATTCAAGCTGAAGATGTTTCACTACAGGTAATAAACCCTTTTTTGTTGAACTGCTTGCATTTAAATTGGTAAAATGATAATTCCCCGTTTCAATTATCCTCTCTTCGTGAATATGAAATCTGGACTTCAGAAACCTTCAATTTTGGTTAACTACCTGCTAACTCAAGGGGATGAAGAATCCAAGTTAGTATAACTGTTTTTCCACAATGAAGAAAATGAGTTAAAGTAAACATTTCTTCCAGTCACAGTTCTTTGACGCAGCTAAATAAGTCTTTTGCATATCTTGATGACTGCAGATGGCACATCACCATTAAATGCTAGTCACTATTCCCACTAACTGGTATGTCACAATACTCAGAACTACCTTGTTTTGAAAATATTTAGAAGCAATTTCATAGCAACAGCTCTCTTCAGATCTAAGAAATGTAACAGACAAAGTTTGTGAGGTTCTGTAATGCTACATCGGCACAACACCTTTCCAACACTCTCGTCAAGTCAGAATTTGACAGCTGCTACTACTATAGAAACTTACTTTAACTGACCATTCAGTGAAACAGTGCCTCAAAACCTTATACTGGCTTTAACAGTCAAACAACACATTGTGGAGACCTTGAGTTACAAGTTTATGGAGTCAAAAGGACCACTATGTGACATCTCTCATTCAAAAAATGGTACCCATTTAACTTGTTCCCATCACTTGGGGCACCTCACTAATTATGCTTCAGATATGAGGAATAGCTTCAAGCCACCCTTACATGTGTTCCACATCATGGTGTAATCTTCTCACAGTCAACTAATTATAACATTCCACCTGACTTCATTATAAACAGGCTTGCATGTAACATGTCTGCGTGTATTCATGGGAGAGCAACATGGACTCGACCTTGATAACAACAAGAACATCAAGGACTTTGGAGTTCAGCATCACAACAAGTTAATGCCACCTTGGTGACAGTGAACATACTCTTCAGAAAGCAATTACTCTACCTTCAGGCAATGAGTTGCTCATACTGAGAACTGTCATTAAATTATTCACATCACTGTTGATGCTCTGTGCCACTCCAGGATACTGTAAATGGAAAAAGAAGAGAAGGTTTGTACAAATCAATTCTGATTTCTCAGGAGATCAGCAGGGATCTAAATGCTCTCTAAGTGAAAAGTCCAAGACTTTACCTATTCCAGTGCTTGAAATGGGTGCAGTGAAATACTTTATGTAGATAAATTATTAAAATTATCACAAAATGTATTAAATATAAAATGGCCTATCTGTACATCGTACTAAAAGTGAAAAGTAAAACAGGGAATGACGTTCTAATGAGGCACACAAAATACAGTACACACTGGGATCCTGGTTCTCTTAAGGTTGTTACAAAAGAGAAAAGGCCAATGCAGCCTAGTTAGAAGAAAGCTTCTAATTGATCCAAGAATATTATTCACCAGCTGTTTCCTGAAGGAAGTCAGGGTATTGGCTTTGGGAACATCACTGACTATATAAACCACATTAATATCTGATGTTATTTGTTCCATTTTACTGCAATAAAATGCCACAACGTCACTCAGGAACGAATGAATACAATCAATAGAGTTTCACAACTCACCTGAATCTTCATGGCCACCTCCTTGCCACCCTTCAGCTTTGCCAGGTGTACCTGGCCAATAGAGGCAGCTGCAAAGGGCCTCTCCTCAAAGAACTCCAGCTTGTCTCTCCAGTTTGGCCCCAAGTCATTGTTCAAAGCTTTCTGTCAGGGAGAAATAGAAATGAAATACTAAAAAAAGCAGACACAGTGGTGCTAATTTTCAGCATGGTTTTTAGCTTCCTTTGCAGACTGCATACTGACACAGATTCCTGTTCTAACTACTTGATGAATTCAAAATGCTGCATCTGCCACTGTATTAAATGTACCACCAGCAAGAATTACCTTATGATTTTCCATTAAGAGCATCAGTTGACCTTGACAATAGAAATTAAGAGTCAACAATGCTCTGGATATTTGATGTAATAAATGTTATGCCATTTTACATGAACTAATAAAAGGCCTCCACAGGTTTAGAGGTTATTAAAATCTAAAGGGTGTAATTGGTCTTATAAATATAGGAGCAGCAACTTAATCTCTATGCCTGTGCTTAAAAGAAGGAAAGAACTTTCCTCCCTCCTTTTGGCATTTCCAATATAACGTAATAACTTCTTTGCCCCTCCTTTTCTATTGCAACAACCAGAAACAGAAAGTCAACTGTCAGTTATGCCACTACCATCTGGAGGGGAAACAGAAATTTCAAAAGCAGTCAAGTAATCGTCTTATAAACAATAAGCAATCCAGTGAACTGCACCCACCTCCCTGCTAAAGATAATTACACAAGACCTTAAAATGAGTAACAACATTCCGACTCTCCATATTTCCGAAGATGACTTAGTTACTTTGGGGATTACAGGCTGTTTACCATCATCTGCTTTATTGGCATGAAGTCCGCACTCTGTCGAACCCGCTCAAAGATCTTCGCCAGCTGAGGATTAATAAACGCGTCATCTAAAAGCCAAGAAGAAGAAAGATGAGTTACAGTAAAAGACTGGCTCCAGTAAACCAAGTGCTCTTTACTTTACTTTATTTTTCAACCCTCTGGTCTCTAAATACACATTACCTGATGGATGCTCATTTATGAGCATTGTTGACCTGCTTCGTCAAAGCAATAGTGTTAGTTGTATTAGCCTGGTCTCAGACAACAGTTAGTTGGGATTTCTGTGGAGTCACCTGTCTGAAAGTCTGTGATATAAGTGGTGATCATTTATAATAACTTATTTAAGAGGAACTAACATTTTAGACTGTGAAATCTGCTCACCACAATTTAACTCCTTGTGTCTACTCTGTGTTGTTTTACTTTCGGTTCTGAAATTGTGATTTTGATATCGCTGTTGCTTCAAACACAGCAACAAATACAAGTCATGGTGAACTGCTACACGAGTGCTATGGCACTGCTGTTCCGAAAAGTGAGCTGAACCTTTTAAGGGTTAGTCATGCTCAGATATGGTCGGTATCTTCAGAGAATTTTAATTTGTCCGTCTTAAAACTGAAATATGAAAAATAAATATCAGGCAGCCTCTCCTGCAAATAAAGCAGCATAAAAAAAACTTGTTGCCCCCATACTTGAAATGACATTTTATTCTTCAACGTATTTTGAACCATCAACGTACATACAAAAACGAACTACATAGTTTTGTTTTTAACACTTCCCTGTATTTCCAGAAGCACAAACATTTTATCTGTCAATATGTACTAAAAATGATTTTTAAGTGCCCTAAGAAACATAAAACAATTTTCCATTCATTTTAAATTTACTCTGTCTAAAATATGCAGCAGCGAACTTGCACACACCAACACAAGACAGCACACCTGTTTTAAACATCTCACCTGCATCAAAATGTCATACATCATTGGTATTACAGAATCAACATAACCGAGCTTATACATTAACTCTGTCCTTCAGTTATGCCGAGTATTTAAATTATGGGTGGGTAATGGTGACAAATCTGATGCTCATCTTATTTTGGTTACATGCCCCCTTCATACATCAAAAAATGTTCAAAAAAAATATTAAAGAATCTGACAGTTTTGTTAATTACTATAAATGACAAGGACAATGGAAACACATACCATTATTGTATTTTAAATGACAAATGGACATTTATATATGTGTGTGGTATAATTTCATACCACCTAATCTATATTCCCCTTTTAATTACTTTAACTTGGTTATTTTTGTTGCATGCAAACACATTATTTTCTAACGGTACAAAAAAACGTAATGCCTCTGTTTCGGTCCTTACTCCGAGCAAAGCTGCAGCCATTGCTCCTACTTTTCAGCAATTTATTTCTTTACTAATGTTACACACTGCTAGATATAGTTAATTTTTATTTACACTAGCAAGTGCTCTACATGGTTATTCATTCCTTCATCTGGCACATAAACCTCCAGAGGGTGTGTTATCTCCACCAACTGTACATTCCACAGGTCATCTTATAACAACACACATTCGGAGATAAAAAAACAAGCAGCCTTACAAAGACCAAAAGGAAAAACACAATGAACCGCACCACCCGATTGAAAATAAAACTTGAACTAGATAAGACTAACCTTGAAAAGATTAACCCTTTTCTCATACATATAACAGTATATATAGACAATGAACATTTTGGATTTGCAAGGGATTATTCCCCGATCTTTATATTCACAAGGCAATAACACTGAAGACTCATTCCAGAAGACCCATCTAAAATATGTATTAAAGTATGGGGGTCCTGGGGTGCTATCTGCATGGAGTTTGTACGTTCTTCCTGGGCTCTTGTGGGTATCCTCTGGGTGCTCCAGTTTCCTGCCAGAGTCTAAAGACATACTGGTACACTAACTGGCTGGCAGTGGTGAGAGTCTGTGTGTTCTTGTGTCCGTGTGTGCCCTGCAGTGGATGGAGGGTGTATCCCGCCTTGCGCCTGTTCCTCGCCAGGATGGGCAGAGGCCGCCCCATGACCCTGAACTAAATAAAACGGCTAGAACATGATGTATTAAGTTTCTGAAAACTGGATGGTTGAATTATCACCTTAACATGTTTTAAGCGGTCTGTGCCACAGGATAGTTGAGCAATGTTTTACATTTAAGCAGTGCAAAGTTTGTTGCTCCCAAGCAATCAAGTCTTCCCTGAGCTTGTTTTGTCCTCATTTACGCTGCTCTTTGGGATATTTCTATCTTTAACAACTCTGTTTACAGGGTTTACTGATAAGAACGCTGATAAGTATGTTTTTCTCTTTTGGTCTAGCAGTTAGGCGTGTTAAGTTTTCCATTACTCTGAGTGACCTTCCAATAAAAACACCAGCAGGCTTCTGCATATACAAGCTAGCTCATGCTCTGCAATATCATACCATAAGTAGAGAACCTGTAAATTTACAGAAAGAGAAAAGCTTTTCATAAATTTAGCACAAAAATAACATATCACTATAGAAGTCACTTTGCTTTTACAAAATAAACTTCCTATCTTGCAGACCAGATACAAGTTGTTATAGGTTGCATATTGAGTATTGAAGGAATAAAAAGGAACTGTACAGCACATAAGTATCTGTAAATATTAATCCTGAATATCCTAGAATGAACAATGGTACGGTAAGTTCTTAATGTTGATTACGGTCATTTAGTGCCTTATACATGAGCAGGAGAACCTTAAAATCCACTCTACATTTAAAGAACATTGCATTGGCTTTCTTAGAAATTTGTACATATTCCACTGAACTCTAGACATAGAGAACCCTATCTGGCATGTTAGAAGATTATGTTGCAGTAGACAACTCTGGAACAAAGTCATCTATCATTATTTCAGCATTAGAAAAAAATGTTCTTAAGAGTCTTGGCCAAGCAATTTTGCACATGTGGAAGAAAGATGAACTTGTGACTAACATACAGTACACCTCTAAGTAAAAATAAACTAATACAATACTAGCTATGGTTAAAATTGCAGTGAAGAAAAGATGAAATGAAACCAGAAATTTCATGAATCAGATCTACAATTGGCAGTAGTTAATTGTTTTGATATAATGAAGCACACTTGATCTGTTAAAACTTTATAAAAACATAAGTTTAGGGTATGCAGTTACCTTTTCTGCAATAAAGCCTATTTCTGACGACAGTGTTAAAGCTACAGCTTCAATGAAGAATTATAATACATTTCCCTTAGTTACCTTATAATACAGAAAAAAGGTTTTCATCTCTTCTTAACAGTTTTCACCTACACAAATGACCTTATATGTCATAAAAAAGGCAGCCACACCTCATGAGTTGAAGGAGCCAAAGAGAAGTTACTCATCGGGTCTGCAAACAACAGACAGTTTGGACACTTCAATCATTCACTGTGAGCTTAGCAAAGAAAAAATTTATGAGGAATAGAGCTTATAAATAGCAGACAAGCAGCATGTCTGTTACCTCGGCAACCAATGCCACTTCAAAGGTTATTGTACTCTGATAGATGTAAACTTATTTTCGGCACTGGCCTTTTCAGCAAGGTTGCACTGGTCTCTGTGGAATGGCTGTTGCATTTTGTATCCAGACAGTAAACAACATGCTTGACAATGAAAATGGTATTGCATTACCAAATAACTATTAATAAAGTCAGAAGTAAACAACAATAAAGAAAAGAAGACATTTCTCCGTTTTTATTTTTTAGCTACCAGGACATGGAACAGGCTCCTTAGCAATACGGCAGTGAATATACTACATAAAAAGAAGATGAGCAAGTTTTGAAATCAATACTTAGAAGAAAATCTGCTCCCAGCAGCACACAATTCATTTTGTCAGGCATAAACTATAAGGACTGAGCAGTGCTAAAAAGGGATTACCAAGTTAGCTGGGTCTGTTTACTGAATGCAAAAAGAATTAGGTTGCAAACAGAAGGCAGCAGTATTGCATACTGACCAAGCTTTAATGCGATGCCAGATTACTTACAAAAATAACTCCTGATAAACAAATGGGAATGGTGCTAAAGGAAAGTTCAATGTCAAAGGCAATGAGGAGGTAAATACCAAGTTCATTTTCTAGGTTGGACATGTATTACCGTAGACACAGTGGTACCGTTAACTCACAACGTACTCTGCAACATTGGCATGCGAATGACCAGTGCTGAAGACCGAATAAAAACATATATCCTGAAGCTAATGTAACTTGTAAGAAGCCCGGTGTGCATCTTAAAAATAAATTAAGAGCCCTTTTGAGGAACAGAAGGCTGCAAGAGGAAACTGGTTCAGAGATCTAGTTAGTCTTCAATCTTTCCTATCCTCATCTAGTGACTCCAATGTCCATCCTTTACATGTCAGCTGGGCCCCTGGCTGCTTTAAAGAACTAATCATGAGATTGGTTAGTTCACACCAGAAGTCTGCAGGTTTATTCACTCTTTGTCCTTTTCAGCTTTGAATTAAACTCTACCGATTCCTTTGCAGTTTTCAAATCGACACAGATTAATACTTAAACCTCCTGTGAACATTTATATCTAAACTTAAAACATCTTTCAGTAGCACAGCCAAAGATAATTCCAAAAAGCCAAACCAGAAAATGCTACATTTAACTAGTATTCAAGAAATTAAAAAATAAAAATAAAAAACTCTAGAAAAAAAAAAGCTTACTGTTTCAGGGCATTTGATACCACAGAGAGAATCCTAAAATATGATCACAATGTACCAAGACACACACACAGAGATGAAACAGGATTCAAAATCAGATAGTCAGCGCTCATCAAAACAACATAAGAATTATGTAACCGACTGAAGTGCACTGAACTTAGAGTGAAATTTAGATGCAGAAAAAGCCTTTGATCCATGTGAATGGCATTATATCCGAAACATACTTAGTATGTTTTCATCTTTGTTTTAAAGGAACAGATTTGCTGTAAAACACAATTAGTAGCTATTGTAACTTCACTACATCCCAAATTATATTATAGAGGATACATTGTGCTCCGTGTACAAGAAGCTGATCATTATTAACCATAATTACTTTGAATAATTCCGATGGGAATAGAGAATGAAGACATCTCTATTCTGTTGGAAATAATGTTTTTATGTTCTTTTGAACCTGAGAAGACAAATGGAAAATATGTGAAAAAGCATTTAAAACCAAAAACAGGAGGCGCTTTTGGGATGTGCGAGCATGGAACAAGGAAGAACTGACACCCCAGATTTTTTAAAGAAATGGCTGGATTAATAAACTACTAACTACAAAACGGCCCAGATGGACTGTACGGCCTCCTTGTATGTAATCTTTCTTATATACAGTACAAACCAGAATAAGAACATTATAGCAACAGGCAACAAATTGCAAAAGTAAATTCATAACCATGAATACATAACTTGGAAAACTGCAGGACAGAAATGCCGTTAAAAGGGATGTTTTAACAGAATTAGATTAAAGGGATAAGTGATTGGTGGGCAAGATCTAAAGTGAAAAGCTGCCTGTCTTGTTTCTGCTATTCATTATGTTTAGTATTTTTGACTAAAAACCAGTCTAAGTAAATAACATTTAAGTGATATTAAGTGACAAATGAACAGCATAAGTATACTAAATATACTGAGTAGGTATCCAAAATATACCGAATAGGTAGCAAAATATACTAGGTATGGTATGTAGGTATGTTCACATTTTCCATATCAGCATTGAGTTAAACTCTACCAATTCCTTTGAAATTTGCAAACTGACAAAACTGTCAATGGTACCATATAATCTGTCAACACTCCTCTACACAGACAGAACCATGAGTTCACAGAGAAGGATTACACTCCAAATTCAATTAGGTCCTGACAATGTTGCTATTCATAATTCACTTACACAGCACTGAGGGAGAGCATGCAACTTCAAGAGAATTTAGAACCTTACGGAACTACTGACTTGCAAAACGTTTATTATTGGAAATCATGCCCAATAATAAGTGACACATCAGCTGAAACATCATTCAAAATATTAAAAGCACGGTCAATTGTACCATCCACCAATCCAATTAACTCTGAGCCAACAAACTGGGATAAATTCCACATTTATAAAAAAAAAAACACAAAACACAGCTGAATTTGAACAGTTAGGGCTCAACAGTTAGGGACTGGTTTTCCCCCAGTCCAAAGACATACTGGTGGGTTAAATGACTTCTGGGAAACCTGGCCCTGGAGTGCGTCTCCGTTTGTCTGTGTGTGTGCCCTGCGATGGACTGGAATGCAGTCCAGGGTGTACCCTGCCTTGTACCCACTGCTTGCCAGGATACGACTCCGGCTTCCCCACAACCCTGAACCGGAAGCAGCAGTGAGAAAACCGATAAACGGGGAAAAAAGAAAAGGCATCTACAGAGTAAAGGAAAACTTTTTTTTTCTTTCCTGAACATGTTCAGAAAGTATCACTTCCTCAAAATAATTTTAAAAATTGCTATATAATTACTTTTGTTTTTGCATAAGGAGCTCGCAAGGGAGTCTCTATCAGCATGAGGAAGAATTCTTGAAAAAAAACAATAAAGGGAAGGAGGTGTGAAGAAGTCACTTTATAACATAACAGGTGACTTGTTTGATAACTGTCCTCAACATGAAAGATGTCTAATGTCCAGCTTACCCTACATGATCTGAGCAGGAAAACCACTTGGAAGAATGCCTGGCAGCCAATGAGATCCACAGGCAATAAATTACAAGTCAAAATACTCAACAGAACATACTATACACCAGACAAGTTAAAGACAAGTGTGCGTGGTAATGCGCACTTCAAGAAAAGGAAGTACTTCAAAAGGTACACAAATATACATTATAGAAATGGTAAAACATCTAAAAAAGTGCCTATCTAATTAAATTGGTCAGCCAGTTTCTCCTTTCACTTACAGTTTTGGGAGATTTAGCTAACTACACTATGTCCTCTAATAAAAAAGAAAACAGTTTTATGTGACATTACATAAAATAATTTTTAAAAATGTCTCATTCATAGCACCATGTTTCTGGGACCTGAGCAAATGAGGCTATTATATTAAGTAAGCTAGACAAAATAGCTGTTAGTCTACAAGCTGGATGAATTTACAAATGCTTTAAAATTGACAGTCTACAAAAGGAAGATTTAAAGGTTGAGGCAATTAAAACATCATATTGATTTTAAATTTGTTTATTTGCTTTAATACTTGATAAGTGTATATCAAAATTAATGTGCTGTACTGGGGGAGTAGTGTCTCATTCTTTGTGAAAAATTAGTCATGAAGAAAATCAAGCAATGATTTCTGTAATTTCTTCTGAAATCAACCAATGAGCAGACTGAGGTCGTAATCTATAAACAAATGTTGAAACGGAAGCATGCAGTGGTTAGATCATGAGAAATTCCAAGGAATTCCACTTGGAAATATTACTTATATGCCCTTCATCCAGTAAAACGTCAACATTATATCGAATGAAAAAGCAACATAGAGCTACACCTGGTGTACAAAATCAAAAACATTTTTAATTATTAATTTTATGTGCATTTAAAAGTCTCACCTTGAATGCTGAGCATCTGGCCAAGTTTCAGAGCTGCTCCGCGTACCTTGCACAGGGTGCGGACAATTCTTTCTGCGTTTGCTTCTGAGAGGAAAGGGCTGGAATCCAGGACGGCTTTTTTATCCCCTAAGAGAAGAATATGCCGGAGTCAGGGTGGATTAACTAACATTGACCTATTCCGCTCCTTAGTGAAATATTCATTTTAAACATGAGCCATTTCCCTTTCATTGTCCAAGTTTCCCCATTATTATATCCGAGAAAGATTTAGCTCATCCTTTGCTTTTTCCTTTACTACTACAGCAAAAGGAAAATATTTTAGCTTTAGTTGTCAGTGGTTTACTATCTCCGTTTTGGCCTTTCCAACACTTACAATGCATTGAATGCCTTCTCTTTTTGTCACTTTATAATGCTTCCAACTTCTGTTTTTCAATTGTTCCAACAAGCCACTCGTGCCACTGCTTTCTGCGACAGGGATTTTTTTTTGGCATGAATCTATTCTGAGTCAAGCAGAAAGTTTGGTGGACTCCTCGTATTATATTATCTCATATCACTACTCTTTAACACAGAGACAAACCATAACTACTAGGTGAAAGAGAACATCCTTATTCTATAGCTGTACGCGTTACATATCACCATCTTATGTTGCCCTTTATTAATGCACAGTGTAGAGTGTGGCTCTGCATCAAGAGGTTGATGAGACTTCTAAACTCCTCCTACTTCTCCACAGCGTTGGCCTTTGAATTTCGTGCCAGAGCATCAGCAGCAGCAGCAGCAGCAAAGCTGCATCACGTATAGCTTTGCTCTACCCCCTGCCAAGATTCGAACAGGGCTGCTTGAAGACTTGGAGCAGACACAGCGCCACTCTATAGTCAGCAGCTGAATTCTTTGAGCCACAAGACCAGGTCCTCTCCAGCGACTGAATCATGGACAGTCTAGGTTTCGAGGCGGTCATGTCACTTCTGTAAAATTCGCTGTGTGCTGCGCCCTGTTTCACAAAGCAGTGTCTTCCTGCCAATGGGGTTAATGCTTTGGGATGTTGTCTACTCTCTTATACAAGGCTGTAATGTTAAACTTTTTATGGATGACATTAAAAATACGGGTCTGTCCACATTTCTGAAATTGATTCTATTTTAGGGAAGCCTCTTTACTGGGAGGGAATCATTGTTTGACCAAGCAATGGCACAGCCGTGCCAGATAATGGTATCCCTATTCATCCAATGCACATGGATCACGAAGACGAAAATAAAGAAAGGAGTGGTGTGTCATTCTATTTCAGATTAGATATTTCTGAATTACTGCAGATTTCATATATTGAGAATGTTCTTCTGTAAAAACAATATTAAAGCACCACCAAAGACAGGAGTCAGATTTTTAGAGCTTGCCGATTACTTTTTACCTTCCTTGTGAAAATACATATTTGGTGAAGGAATTTTTATTTACTGCAGACCAAAGACTATATGCGTTTTGGATTTCTTGTTTTAAAATTACATGTATGACATATAAACCAGCCAAAAACCAAAAATATTTACTCAACCCTAATTAAAGGTGCATGTTGAGATGCATCCTTCAATTATAATAGTTTATAAGCGCTTTCCAAGAAACTCAAAGTGCTGAGCTCAACAGCTTCCAGGCCCTTTCACATTGCTCTCAAACTGTAAAGTAAAAAGCAATTCATACAGTTCTAAGCACTATCTTGTCTCATACACTGTAAAACTATCAGGGAATCGTTCACAGATTCAGGGGGGAAGAGAACTGCGCTCTGTGCAATACAAAGCAGGTCACAATGCATTGTGAAGCTAAGACAAATGGCACCAATTTTTGGGACAAGCTTCTTGTCCATTTAAGACATAATAAATCATCACGCACTGTTTCTAAAGAACCATATAAACAGATTACAATTAAGCTAAAAAACAATTAAATATCGAAATATTTGATTTAGCTCATGATTTTTTCCAATGAAGCTTACTTATAACTGTAATGTGAAGCAACCAGTCAGAACTAGGGTGCTCCGTGAAACCACAGAGGATCAAAGAATTCAAAAGGTTAGGAGTGCAATCATATGTCAGGACCCAAGATCCATCATTCCTCTTCTGAAAACTCTTAAGAGTATGCCGAGCCTTAATATGGACTGCATACATTAAAAGCTAAACAAAAACATGAGGTATAGTATAAAGTATCATGGTTGCTTTTAAATCTAAAACTCATGGAAAAAAAATGATGAAATTGTGGTCACAAGCAACTTCCATGATAGAGTTTCCAATTTTTATTATTTGAATTTCAATTGCAATTTCACATTTGAACCACAGAGCTTAAAATGTTAAAACCAAAGCTCAGATGTAAATGCAAATATTACAGACCATTTTACCGTCTGAAAGAGCATTATCAAAAAAGCATCCTTATCCAGGACTTCATCACATCTTACCATTTCGATCCTCTGACCTCAGGCTCTTCTTGGCCACTTCAGCCAGGGCCCCGATGCCAAGGCCAACAGCCAGGCCTAAGACACAGGGGGACAAGACACACACAACTCTTAATATGTCTGACTTGTTAAGTGCAGATGTACGAGACGGGTTGCATCTTCTCATTGTTCACTAGGAACTTCACCACCTTTACATTAATTATAATTAAGGCACACCATCATCGTGGAAAAAAAAAAAAGACATTAACACTGGCTCCAATATGCTACAATTAAAATGGAACAAAATATCTCAAAGCAGTCCAAAAGTCTGAAAACCAGAGGCTTGATTAGTGGCTGTTTTTGTAACTCCAACACAAAAGACTACTGTGGGAAGGGCATATGGAATAAAGTAAAATAAAGTTTAAATTAACACACTGACTAGACAGCATAATGATACCAGCATAATATTATTGCTGGTATCAAATTAGGTCTTATTTCAATTGAGTGGCATAGGATTCTGATTTTTTCTAAAAATTGCAGTTTATTTTTAAATGCAATTCTCACATAACCTCTCAGTCCTCAGACTTCATGTTTTAAAATAAGTGGAATAACTTCCATAAATTATAAATGTCACGTTTATTTTTAAATGCAATTCTCACATAACCTCTCGGTCCTCAGACTTCATGTTTTAAAATAAGTGGAATAACTTCCATAAATGATAAGTGTCACGTTTATTTTTAAATGCAGTTCTTTTTTTCAGGCCAGAAAAACAAGAAAAAAAAGTTAACAAGGTAATTCTGCATAACACAGCATTACCTTTTTATAAAGATACAACAAAACAAATATGAGCTGTTGGTTATCAGCCTTGTGCTTTCAGAGTATCCAAATTATCAGCAGCAGCTCAGAAATCATTAACATACAGTAGGCAATGTGTTACAACTAAATAGGTCCTAACTGTGCTGTATCATAAAGGAAGAGTCGTGGTTGTTTACAAGTATTTAAAGCAAAATATGACCTTCTGATACATATACCAGCAGTACAACTCATAACACTAACGCAACCGTAATAAGAAACACAGCACGTTTCTATATGACTCTTCTTTGACAATCTTATCATTACTCATTTCAGGAAGGGCATCAGCACTTGTGTTGACATATATC